TGTAATAGATACCAATCAATACAGTATTGTGTTACCAATTTTCCTTACTCAAGTTAGAGTTTTGACCTCAGAACAGCTATTTAATCTTCAACGGCAAATTCAACGAAGGTAATGAATCTACTCATTACCATACAATTATTTGGAGCCTTATCTGCTCATATGAGCAGATTCCATTTTAATGCAAATTGTATCCACTCAACAGTGCCATTTTGACCATATTAGGTTTCTTCCTGTGGCTCCTGTTAATATTCACGTCTTGTAAAATGTCCTTGAGTGCCCAGAAGGGAACCCACAAGTAATCATTTTGTATTCACAGAATATTATCGTGATTTTTGTCGGACATGCACATTTATGGATCTGTCCACTGGCCGATGGTGACTCTCATGGGTAAAGGCTGTGAAATACTGCCCTCTATCGCTCCAAGAGGAGCTTTACAGCAATGCAACCGGCCAGCCATAAGTTCCATGTGGACAAATATGCTTGGAAAGGGTAAATCATATTTTTATTTATTTAAAAAAAAAAAAAAAATCGGTATGAAATTTTTCAGAAATACGCGCTCTGCCTTTAAAAAGCAACATGATCGAAATTCATCCAAAATATGATTACACAGCAGTTATGACCAACGTGACATCAGGTGTGCCACGCAATACGATTTATTCTTGGTATGCTAGGCTATGCGTTAGCATTATTTTGAATTATTATAATAATAAGAAGAATGACTTCGCTTCTCTTTGCGGCTGAGTCTACCGTTGTGCTTCGTCGAGCGTCCGGGGGACTTTGTGCGTTTCCTCAAGTTCATCCCATGCTGCAGTGATGACTGAAGCTCTGGCTCTTCTTATTTTCAATAAAATATATTTATGTATCTGTGCATGTACTGTACACTGTCGGATCAAGGTGCCTTCTTTTTGCATAATGTCTGATTCCGGTACCCCAGCTTGATGGGGGAAGAAGGGGGGGATTGTACTCAGTTCGGCGAAAGGGTGCGCCGGCGCAGGCAGCTGCACGTCAGGCACTTGAGGATGCTCATGGTGATGTGCATGAGAGGTCCTAAATTAAAGAGCAGGTTGTAGAAAGTGTTGACCGACAGCCCGCCGGTCTCGTCGGCGTACTTCAGGGCCACGATGGGCGTGTACAGGCTGTTAGTCAGATTCCTGAATCGGGGGCTGCTCGACTCGATCACCTTCTTAGTGCACTGGAGGGGACGACAACAAAGTCGGGGTTGGCGATTGGATTTTTTTTTTTTTTGCCACCATCCAAAATCCCAAAAATCGTACTCACTTTGGCTATGTCCTCCGGCGTCTGACCCATGGCTTCGAAGATATCGATCGACGACGGCAGGTAAACGTCTTTAAAGTAACGAACCGTGTCGGCGTCCGCGCCCGGATATTCCATCTTGGCCACGTCCTCCATCATCTTTGTCTCAAACTCCGTGTGCACCGGACCGGGCTCGATCATCGACAACCTGACGCGGAACATGTCGTACCGTCAGGGAAAGAGCAGAGGTGGGAAGGGAGGATGACATTTCCTTAACGAATCTTGTGATCGCACCCAAAAGAGATCCGATGCAATAATTTGCTAGCTATAGCTAGCTTTTATTATTATTATTTTTTTTTAAAACTTTCCCATCATAGCATCAATCCAGAGATGTCCAATACTCTCCACCCACGATCATGAAAAAAAAACATAGTTGACGGGCTACGATCCACGTTGACGGCATTTCACGTCAACGGCGCTCAAAGTGTTTGTGGACGTTACCTGACGTTGAACTTCAGCAGCTGCACGGCCATGCTCTCGCAAAATCCCTCCATGGCAAACTTGGAAGCAGTGTAAACGTCATTGAACACAACTCCTGTTCCGGGGGACCAGCAAGAAGAACAACCGATGAATCGGTCGACGCATTACCGCTTAGCACATACGTAAGCAAATACTCAGCCGTCGGAGCAACGGACACCCACCCTGAAGACCCATGACGCTGCTCATGACCACGATGTGTCCGGACCGCCTCTTCTTCATGTCGGGCATCACCTCTTTGATCATGCGCACGACGCCAAAGAAGTTGGTCTCGAACACTCGCTTCATCTCATCGATGCTGATGCTCTCCACGGGGCCCAGAAGGCCCACGCCTGCGTTGTTGACTGTCAAGACAACCCACACACACACACACACACACACACACACACACACACACACACACACACACACACACACACACACACAGTTCAGCATCAGAAAAAAGGATGACAGTTGCGTACTTTGTTGTGGCTTTCTGGTGGCCTTCGTTGAGACCACCACCAGAGGTCAGTGTTAGACACACGACAAAGACGGTGTGATGCAACTGCGGGCTTTGACAAAGCACTTGTGGGTCTTGAGTAATGAGGTGAAGGGGCTTTGGACTTTGCACAAGAGATGCAAGCAGGCTTTTCTAAAAAGAACCTTGACACACACTCAAGCCTTAGCACATGATCTGGTTTTATTATGAAAGAGCTTGTTTGGCGCATTGAGGAACAAAATGCATATTGCCTCATTTTGTCGCCATTACGTTACAGATAAATACATTGTGTCTGTTGGGGGACAGATAAAAAAAAAAAAATTGTTATGGGGTAGCCAGTGGTGGATTTGTGCTAGCACCATTCATTTGCAGTCTGGACATAGAAAGAATCTCTTGTTTTGAAATGGGTAGCAGCGTCTCAAGAAGTCAATCACACCGCAGAGTGTCGTGCTTTTTTGAAAAATAGTCACTGGAGGGGTCTGAGAAGTTGCCTAATCGATATGAATGGGAAAAAAAAAGCGGGTCGCTGATTTGGCTGACTTCTGTGCGGGCTGAGCTCGTCAGTATGTCACTAATATGAGTCAATCTTCGCAGAGGCTAAAGAATATATGACAGTACTGTTGTCTGTCTTCATTTTTTTGATCAGGCGATTGCTTTGAGGGTTATACCATTGCAACATACTGTCGACGCTATATTCGGATTCAAGTGTTTTCGCCAATGGGACTGTCAACAATCCCCAATTACACCAGAGGTGACAACTTTATAGCCGTTCTATTTACTTGTGGGTCATAAAATATGAATGACTTTATCAGATGTGCTCAAATGATATATTGGGACATTCTGTGGATGGGAATTCACGCAGGCCTCAGCCGACTCACTCAAGATGTCGATATGACGGTCTTTCACGCTGTTGATGCACTGCTTGACCGATTCGTCGCTGCACACGTCCAGTGGCAGCAACACCAAGTTCTTCCCGTACGCGTCTCCCGCCGCCTCCACCAGCTTGTTCTTCTTTTTTAGGTCCCGCATGGTTGCGATGACTACAGGGGAAGAACAACACAAGTTTTTTTTTTTTGGGGGGGGGGGATTTTTATTTAGCTTTGGAATGTGTGGATTGTTTCTTTTTATATTGGATCTCATTAGAGGGTGCAGGTGTACCTAATGTTATGGTGGCTAGTTAACAATAATGACCAACGGCACAGAGGTGTCACACAGGACTTTGAACCCTTTGATCTGAGAGGCCACCACTATGCAATTTCCTCCACACACACACGCACACACACACACAGGAGTCGTAAGGGTCAAAGTTCCTGCGACAAGCATGCCTCACAGGACACAGAGCTGATTCGGGTTGAACTTTACACGCCGGGGCCACATTAGCTCACAATGACGACAGGGATCACATGATTAGCGACGACATCCATCAACTTGGCTGCGCGTATGTTTCGCTGAGTCGGCCGAGTGACGCTACCAAGGGGAGGAAAACACTGTTGCACAACGCCAGTCAGCCGAGGTAAACAAGGAGTTGGCCTCGAGTGACAAAACGTCCAAGCGTCACCTCACTTGTCGGAGTAAACCTTTTTCGAGAAATGTTTGAGGTTTCTTACGACTGGGGAGAAGCAGCCAGAGTGACGGAAAACACTTCAGTTATGAAGTAAAATCACATTTCTTCCCTGTCATGCTTGTTAAAGGCGTAACGTGTCTTCATTTTATATCATGACAGATTTTACATCAAGTGAGCTGCCATTTTGCCTCGTCATGACAAGCAAAGCCATTTTTTTATCCACCTAACTATTTTATGACAATATCCATGCATTCATTTACATCTAATCGGACTATATGAGCAACAGTAGAAATTGAGCTCTTAATTGCTTGCATGGAAATCGTTGGATCTCTGGACTGCTGTAAAATGAAACAAACAAGTCTTTCTTTTGTTATCCAGACACAACAAGCCATTCTGAAACGTGCCTGATTGTGACAAAATTGGGACCCCCTACACCACATTTCTCTACTCATGATGACGCAAGAAGCTCGCCCCAAAATCTGCCATCGTCAAGAAGGCTGCAACAGAAGCACTATGACACACATCTCAAAGATAAGCAGAGCTGTACTGTGATTGGATGCTCAGATTAGCACTGGCTAGCCAGCACATGTCACAAAGCAAATCTGTGACTACCTGGGAGTTGCTACTCACTTTATTTTGTGTGTCTGTTACGCATAGCCACTCGCTTACTTGCAACACCGTAGCGCTTCCTCTTATCATGGTAACTAAAGCGGTACTTTCCGCTGTACAGCGCGTGTGGATCAGAACGGTGGACCTGTCGTGCTAATGTTGGTTTAGTGATGCTAAATTAGCAATGCTAGCGCTGCTATTTTGTTGACACTGGATATGGGTTCTGTGTGACTATTTATCATGACTAGGCACTTTCAGATTCAAATGCAGACACTTGTGGGCATGGGGGAGATTAGTAAAGTGAGGCTATATTCAAAAATTGCTGGCAGTTTTGAACACCACAAAGAGCCTCTTTAATGAGCAGTACGTCGTCCTGTGAGATATTTTGCGCCGTATAGCTACATTTTATTTCTTGGGGTTAAAATAAACAGTTGAGTTGAAGCGTCGATTGAACCGGTTGAGTAATTTTCGCAGCACGGTGTAACAATGTTGCGGCGATGCGGCTCTTGTCACATAGACACCGAAATAGACTGCTGTGCGATGGAGAGGTTTACAGTGTCAACTATTATCGTGACTGAGCCGATTGAGGACATGGCTTTGTCATGTAATGTGCGGCCTGCAAGTACTCAGAAACTTTTGGGATGTCATGTCGCAACACGAAGTGAATTAAGTCGAATGGAGCCGCTTGCGAGGCTGTGGAGCATGCGAAAGAAATGTATGTTTGGCTGTGAAACGAACAAGGGGGCCATTGTTCTCCGGGGCTCCTGCAGGAATTAGTGGTTGGCCGCTTTAACATTCTTGTACGAACCACACTGTGTTCCAAACACGACTGTCTCTACCGGGTCGAGCTCGGTCTTTCGCGAACTAAGCACTTGCTTGAATGCAATATTTAATTAATCTTCTTTCCCAAAGGGGTCTTAGGGAAATTATTGGGTCACCTCCACTGCTCACAGGGCGACCTTTCAAAGGAAGGCCACAGTAGGGGGGGGGTGGAAAAAAATATTCGGAACGGGACCGTGATTGTTTTCATTTAATTTGCGGTACAAGGGGGAAAAATAGTATGAAGTATAGTGTTACCGTGGAGACATTTTGTGGTTGAACATAAACACGCACAATTGGACGGCCGACGGTCGAGTTTCTGGACGTCGTCATGGCAATGTTTTGAGAACCGCTTTAAGGTCAGAACATCCGTGCTAATGCGTGAATGCTGAGTGATGGCGCTCGCGAGTGGGAGGCCGATCATTTACAGTCAAAACAACAAAACTGTGGGGCTTTCTTGGCCTTTTAAACACAAATTCGCAGCTACTGCGGGGGACACCAATCACATTAAAAAAAAAACAAAAAAACAATCGAGTTCATGCAGAGAGAGTAGAGAGTGTGAACATGTGACTTGTTGCCCCATCAGCAGGCAAAATGGTGTCACTAGATGTTCATCATTGACCTGAAAAAAATGTGTTGAACTTTAACATGAAATATGTGACTGCGTGTGCTGAATTAAAAAAGTCCTTTGAAAGTGTTGGCACGTAGGCCTTGGATCTTAGTCTCTAATTCCTGCTTTAACTTTCCAGAAGTGAAAATTCAAGATGAAACTGGATTACAGAGAACAAAAGCACTGCTTCGTCATCAATGTAGTGGGACATACAGTAGTTCCGACAACAACTGGAAGGTCAATCAACACTCAAACAAAACCTGATAAACGAAATGAACTTGTCAGACTCATCATCTCAATGGCATTCTGACCTGTGTGGTCATTTGCATAAATCACATGATAACTAACCCCAAAATGAGTACCAAATATTGCCCCTGATCACAACCCCCTTCTACCCCCGCTTCAAAAGATGGACTCAAACTCGTCAAGACACACTTAACACAAGTATGTACGCTTGATTTTGAGTTCTGGCAGTCAGGAAGAGCCTCAAGTGCAACAAAATCACAAGGCAGGCAGGGATGGGGAAGAGATTTGAGTGACAATTGTGTGGGCTGCCCTCCCGCACACCAATGAACACTTCAAATGGGAGTGAGCCCTCGCTTGTACAGGTCTCAAACTTTACCACCCCCCCCCCTAAAGCGGTGGCTCAAGGGTTGGCACTGTCAGCCCATTAGACACGGCACTAAGCGGCGCATACACCCATAATGGGCAACGTTGGGGAAAAAAAATACGGGTGCGATGGGGGTCGTGGTAGAGAAGTAACATGAAAGAGAAGTGACAAGCTTCTTTTTTTTTTTTTTTTTACGATTGTGCCTGGAAAAAGTCACGTCCCTCCGGAGCCCCCCCAACACCACCCCCCAGCAGGGAAAGAAGTGGGCTTTTACATGATAATGGTTCAAGCACGACAGAAAACGGAGGGGTCACTGATTCCCGATCCTTCCTGAAAAAAAAGGAGAGGGGGGTGGGAGGCAATATGGATACCATATCCGCGCGTGGACGCGACACCAAGTGCGTAAAAAAATGCGTAAAAAGGAGCCGAGGTGGCATGATTCAGATCTGCCGGAGGGACAAAAAAAAAAAAAAAAAAAGTAAACACGTCCTCGTTTTTCCTAAACCCCGCTAATATGTCTTCTGTGGTTGGCGAAAAAAAAAAAAAAAGAAGAACGGGAGAGCATAACAGAAATGTTTACCATGGTAACGCTTCTTCTCATCTCTGGCCAGCGTGACGGCGATTCTCAGGCCAATGCCGGAGGAGCAGCCGGTGATCAGCACAACTTTCTGCCCACCGTTCGCCATGATGAGTGTCGGATGGGGCGCCGTGCAGCCTCGCAGAAGCTCCTCGGCTCCTCCGGATGCTTTCGCTCGCTCGGCCCCGACTAAAAGCGGATCGCCGCGGCGGCCATGTGAGCATCTAATGCGGTCACATGTTCCAGCAGCCGGATCACCGGCCCGAAAGGACGTGGCATCGCGCGCGGGCCCACGCGCGGGTACACTTTTTAAAAATCAAGTTACAGTAATTCCTCACCCAAAAAAAAAAAAAAAAAAAGAGTCGGGGGAGTGGTGTGTGTGTGTGCGTGCGTGCGCGCGCGCGTACGTGCGCGTGACAGAGGGGGCAGTGCTTATGTGATTACAAAGCGGGACACAATGTGACACTTTTTTTTTTTTAACAGTACAGTATTGACACGTTGTTTTGTTTATAGCTGATATTTCCGGGTTACGTCACATCCACTGACACGCTTTCATAAGGTCGGCACAAACTATTATCTTGAAGATTTTATCTGGCTGAAAAAAAAACATGTTCGTGTTAAGAACAAAAATGACACATTTATTCATCACACCATTAAAATCTATCATGTTAAACATTCCACCTTAAATAAATCATAATGTGCTAAGCATTCCACGTTATCCATGAGCAAATTCCCAAATTTGTGGTGAGATTCAACAATTTTACCTCCATCCTGAAATTCAGCTTTTTTTTTTTTTTAAGCGTCTCACAATACCCATTTCGATTGATTCGACAGCTCTTCAGCTTTCAAAGAAGTCACTTTATGCCTTAGGTTGTGCTGCTATCTTGTGGTCAGAAGGGATAGCACAGGCTCAGTGAATGCTGCAAAAAATTAAATCACTGTAATAAAAAAAAAGGGGGGGGGGATATGACTACAAATCACATCTAGGTTATCAGCGGTAGATATTTTTTTTCAGGCTCTGCTGGCACCGTGAGCTACGTTCCGTCATATCAACTGTGATTGATGTTGAAAGGGGTCAAAGTGCATCTGATGAGAGCTCAAACAGACCTGTTATTTTTGTCTACCGCGTGAGGTCAAAGTGTACGAGGGTGAGCACGCCGTGTGTCATGGCTTGTTGTTTGTGATGTCGCCCACCTTAAGTCGCTTTTGTGTGCGTGTGTTTTGTAATGCTACCACGGAATGGTTGCAGCG